GTTTAATCAAAATGTTTTGCCATGAACAGGTCATTTTTGCTGTATTATAGGGAAGTTGCTAGAAAAAAAAAACCTTACATTTTCAAAAAATATATTTGCCATCTTATACTTGTTATATTCTACAAGTTGTTGTCACAGAAGTATCCCCCAACAGGGAATGTGTTCAGAACCACTTGTCTCATATAAAAGTGGTCTTAAATCAAGAAAACAGATTACATTTAAGTGGATCTTCCAGATACGCTTCAGAATTATGAAGGCTTATGGAGATATGAAGTGAAAGATTTTTTGGTATAGAGAAAAGAGAAAAATGCCTCTGGAAAGGAACCATTTGGGATTGGGAGATGAGGAGAAGCTCAGACTTGGGCCTTGTCCCCTATCATTTGCCCTCCCACCTTGGGTAGAGAAAGAAATTATGAATTGTGAATTTCAGAGATCTGAAAACTTAAGCCTTCCTGTCTTCTCATCAGTGTCCTAGCCACATCCCTGGAACATCTGATGTCAGAGTCTGCTTCAGGACCAGAGGAAAAATTGGATGAAGATTCATAGCTCCACATGGAGTCCAACAAAGAGGCTATACCATGTCTATGGGGAGCTTCTTGAGCACACCCACAAAGTGTAGAAAAGGACTTGTAACAACCAGCAGCTGTGGGTTAATTTTGTACACGTATGCTAACTAAGCTTGAGTTCACTTTCCCCTTGAAACTATATCTATTTGTGGGAAAACATGTCACAAAATTTTGGGGAAGAGTGTTTGCACCAACAGTACCATCTATATTGCTGTAGCAAATTACGCATTCACCAAAGCTTATCCAGTCTGGTTGACTGAATCATATAAATTAATAATTATAATGGGATGCACACAGGTGGGGGGGCCTTTGAGCAAGAACACTACAAATGCTAAAGGTTATCTCTGAATCACTGAGGAATGTGGTAGCCCTGTTCTAGGGACCAATTCATTAGGAGAAGTGGGAATTAGGATAGTACCCTCAGAACATGAGCTCACAGCATATAAAAAAGTAATACTAATTATAAAATAGTAATTATAAAAAGTAAAACTAGTTATATTTCCTCAGATCTTTGGTCTTTACTTGTTAGATATGTCATACCGTAAGACCCAGCATTTGACACATACTTAAAATTCACCAGGAGCAATAGGATGTAAACAGCATGGAATAATAGACTAGGGTTCACAAAATTTGAGCTCTAGCCCTGACTCAATAGCTTTGTTATATTAGATAGGTTCCTTATCTTCTCTAGGACTCAACTTCCTCATCTATGAGGATGACTACATTATATAATCCCAAATTCCTTTTCAAATCGAACACCTGATGATTGAAATTTGGGTAAGACTTCTTGATTATGGGAACAGTCATACTTAGCAATGATTGCATTGTTCACAGAAAAAAAAAAGTCATCACGTTATTTATTAGCAGTATTTGGAACAATTGACATCTTCTGGATCAACTTGCTATTAAAAGATAAACCATGGAATTTTAATAGACCTGTTGAAGTCCCCCCATGAACTAAAGAAAAATCAGGAATACAAACATACTTTCTGGAAGTAAAATTAAATGGATCAAAATAAGCTCACTAACAATAACAAAACTAATTCCTAGCCACTGGAGGGACTTAAAGCCACCCACTCTGTGCAAATGGATATTTGTTTTGTTATGTGCAGGTGCTACAAAAAATCTAATTTTCTGATTACAGGGCAACAGGGAACAATTTCAGGAAACCTTCAAACTTTTGTTCTTGTTGCATCACATAAAATAACATGGAGAACAGAGGTAACTTTTTTCAATCAAAGCACCTGACACGCAATTTGTGCTCTTTTAATTACATTTCTCCTGTGAAATAAACTCATTTTAGACTCATCTGTATGAAAGAATCAAGACCTTGGGGAATCCCTTGTTCCCTACCCTCTCCCTACCCCTTTAGAAAAAAGTAAATCAAATGGGGGATGTATTGGCATTCAAGTTAGGAAGCTGGCTGTAAAAGTAAAGGCATTTAGATTGGGGTGGTGAGAGAAATTATAACCAGTGAAGTGGGTGAGCAAGTACAGAGAGATGGAAAATGGAAACTCAACAATTTCAGCAAATATTTATTCAGTACCTAATATACACAGAGGTATAGGGCTAGACGCTAAAGTGATTGAATAATTCCAGGCCCAGATATGTTACCTGTCAGTTATCAGGCAAGTCCATATTGTTTGATGGTCCTTAAGTTGAAGAATGATTGTTTTACTTGTTACCCCATATTTAACAGGTAGGGACAAGAAGTGTTTACATTTAAGTTCCCCTTTGCCCTCTTACTTCACACTTTCCTAGCATTGTCTCCCAATATACACAGTTAGTACACACCTAAGAAGCATGAACACACACACACACACACACACACACACACACAGTGACACTAGGGTATTTTTTGATCATTATAGTTCTAAGTCTGACCAATAGAATGTTCACACAATTAATCAAAAACTGTACCACATAGAATAGACTGAAGCCCCCATTAAGTTAACTTGGATGCTGCCAGCAGGCACTAAAACCTTAATGAAATACCATGGTCCAAATAGATTTTCATTAAAGTTTACGATAATGAAAACAAACACAATTCTAATGGGAAAAGTTATCAACTGTATTGCTAAGAGAGAAAATTTCAGATAATATTTAGAAAACCCACATTGATGATTAATATTATTGATGTTGAGTTGTTTCAAAACAATTACATCTGGAAGACTTCCCTCAGTCCCCTGAAGACATACTTCCTTCTTATATATATTTCTCTATATATTCTCCCAATGTGGCTTTAAAATCTTAGTTAATGCTCATTCTTTTTCTGCACCTGTTTGTGATTAGGACAAAATTATGTTTTAGTGCATGTTACACTGAAATGATATTATTCATGTATATTGTAAACCACCCTGAGGTGGAAATATCTGAATTTTTTTTTTATTATAGGCCATAAAAAAACCCAAGATTTTACTATTTACTACACAATTTTACTTGGTAGAAATACATTATCTCAATTCCCCAAATAGGCATTGCATAAAAATAAGTCAATTATCTCCCCTTGTAAGTATATTTGCCAAGACATTTGCCCATATATTTTTACTTTTATCTTTCTGCCTGAAATATACACATTCCAATAGGTAGTCAGTTTATGCACTATTTTGTACTGCAGCATATGTATGGATATATATGTCTATATGCATATGCATATGACATATGTATATAGGTATGTGTATGTATGTATGCATGTATGCATAAATGAAGTTCTTGATAAAGAAAATATTTTCCATACACAAGTATTATTTGTTCCAAAGAAACAGGAAACAATTTGGTGTTAATTCACACAATGGGAGTCAGATGTTAGATGAGTCAAAAAAGTAGATTCCAAGGTTTCTCATTAGATAATCCTGGCATGTTTCAGCTTCATTCTGGAAGCTCTCTCTCTCCTCAGCTATTAGTTGAACCCATATCCCAAAACTCTTAAATGGAAATTTAGGTTGGATTTGCTGTACTCTCTTCCTGTCTCACCCTAAGCAAGATTCCTATTTATGGCTCAGTACCTAGAATGATGTATACACTTCAGTGATTCTGATAACTTGAAAGATTGTATTGATGGTATGATCACATACATTGATCAACAGTTAGTAGAAATTAAAAAGAAAAAAAATGGGGCCTGTTAAAAATATAGTAGATTCAAACGTTCATATTAAATATAGCTAGAGTTGATGCTACATAATCACATGCTTTAGAATTTAAGAAATGAATATTTAGTCAGAAAATTCGCTCTTTTGGCCCTGTGCTCTGTATCTAATAGAAACATCAAGGGAGTTCATGGCAGTTACCATCCATGTTACTATTCTCTATAAAGGAAATTCCTTAATTTTCTTTTAATGACCTGTAGATTTACTGTATCATTCAAGAATCAATCTAAACTTTCTTAAGTTGAAGAGAAGTGTTGATGTTCCCACGCACTCGGAAATGATGAACAATTTGTACTCCTTCACTTTTGTGTAAATTATTTCTCCCTATCCTTTTTATTTGCTACAAATTACTTCACAGAATCATCTCAAAGACCTAGTTTGTTTTAGTATTTTTTTTTAGCATTTTTTTCCATCCTCTATGAAATGAGGAGTTGGGGGGAATGATTTCCAAGGTACTTTCTAGTTCTAAATCTTATCATCTACTACCTTCTTGTTCATCCTATAATTAATTATTTGTCATTAATTTTAAATACATTTTGAGACAATCCTTGGTATCTAGTCTTTACTTTGAGCACAGAAGAGAATTTTCAACATGCTCCCTAGATGGAGAGATTGTCTCCCTTAGTTTTTTCATCCTATTATTCCTTAGATTAATATATGGTCAATAAGCCACCAACAGTCACAGTTTCACTGTATGGTCTCTGGGTCAGGGAACCAGAAAAATAAACTGTCTTTTTTCTTTTGCCTTTTTTGGTGAGGCATTTGGGGTTAAGTGACTTCCCCAGGGTCACACACCTAGTAAGTCTTATGATTCTGAGGCCAGATTTGAACTCCGGTCCTCCTGACTCCAAAGCCAGAGTTTATCTACTGTGCCACGTTAGCTGCCTGAAAACAGACTGTCTTAAGGCTACACAACAGTATCCTATTGGAAAAACCTAAGCAAAGTCCTGTTACCTGGCCTGCTGAATGGTCAAGCAGATGTAATTGATGGCTTTGTCTTACTCTAGGTCACATTTTCTTTTAGGGCTCCATGGACAATGAGGTAGCACAGGTCATGTTGCATCATGCTCCGGGATAGTATCCATGTTGGTGAGAAGTACAGAATCTTCTGTTTGCCAACTAAACACTGGGCTTTTTGTTAGGCCAGTCTACTTTGGGGACTAAGGTAGTGTTCTGGGACCAGGGGTGGGAGTTGGGAATTGTGGGAAATGATCATGCAAACAGCAGACGGGAGAATGGATGTTGACATATAGCATGATTTTTTTTTTTTGACGCAGAAACTATTTACCCTTTTCTGAAGCAGCGACTGTGATATTGTACCATGGTGTTTCCTCTCTGTCAAGGACTTTTGCAGTCTTAATGGTTCCAGTGTTAGCATCAATGTTGAAAAACCTATCATCCTCAGCACTGTGGTCAATGAAATATCTACAAAGAAATTTAAAAGTATTCATTAAGTTTCATAATTTACATAATAGAATTGAAGTATCTCATGAATAAGTAGGTTAAATTTTTAAAAATCCAAAGTATTTGAAAAATACATATTCAAATGTTTAAAAAGAAATGATGATTCTAGTTACTTTAGATGTGGCTTTCTTAAAGTCATATTTTAAAATATTTACTTTCTGATTTACAAGGCATGATTTTTTTTTGAGAAAAAAGTTTACACAAATGGAATTTTTTTCAGTTAATGGAGTTCTTACATTAATGAGGAATGCATAATTTACAACAGTACAATACTTCAAAAGTATTTATTAGGCTGCTCCTGTTGGATTCCATTCTTCCTTTTCCCTTCTGTGAATGACAAGGGCTTATGGAAAGTCTCTGGCTCATTCTTGCCAGAGGCAGATTCTCTATAGCCTATGCCTCATACTTCCCATTCTAAGGTAGCTTTTTGACTTGTCTGGGTCCATTTCCCCAAACATTCCCCCCTCTAGCTTTGGACTTCTTGTTCCTAGAAGCAGATCATAGCCTTCTTCTGCCTGGTCCCTGGACCTACATTTTTCTGAATTTCTGGTGTTTGACCTCAAGAGTAATTTCCACTCATCCATTTGGACCACAAGCCTTTCTGAGTCTGTTAATCACTGTCTAATCCCTGGTGCATACAGATCTCCAACCCCTCTGGCAGTGGGCAGAAACATGTATTTCCAACACTGTGCTTAGTATTTTGTGGGCAACTATTTCCCATAGTTTACAAGTTTTATGAGAGAAAATAGATTTGTGCACAGAAATAGCTAATAACAATATAATGTTGCACATAAATCTTCAACTGTGAGTTCTATAAGACAAATAGAATGGGATATTTGTAAAACTATCACAGAAGAGGTAGAACTTGAGTTGAGACTTGTAGGATTAAAAAACAAAAAGAGAGAATTCTGAGAAGCCAAGAGTAGTGGAATTTATCTCAGGCAAGGGAAAAAGCAGGAATTCTTTGGTGTGGAGTTATAAAAAGGGAATAAGCATCCATGCCTTATTTGCTAGTATAGCTCTGATTCTTGGAATGGTCTGTGGTTTCATTAGTGTAGGGATCCCCTGCACTACCAATGCACATTTCAACAGCTGCTTGTTTTCTCTTGTCTCTGTGACTTGTCTACTTTTTATCCAAATACATATTTTTATACATATTTTATCCAATACATATTAGGTTACATGCTTCCTCCATTGTTACAGATTTAGACCTTTTTTCTTTTTAAACTTAATTGATAGTCCTAGACAGTCACCTCAAGTTTGGAAGTTAAAAGGCACATGCATTAACAACAGCCTTAGAAACAGGTTATGAACCCAGGTGCTTCTGACTTGAAGTCCAGCAGTCTGAACCACCATACTACTCTGCCCCTCCATAATATTCCAAAATTATTTCAGTGTGCTGCAGACTTTCCTCATGTTCTTTGGTATTTTAAGGATGTTAATGTAACCACTGAAGTTGCCATCTTTTTTCTCTCTTTCTCACTAAGTGATTAATCCCCCTTCCCTTTCTAGTTATACATTTCCCTAGTTATATTTCTGACAATTTTCCCACTAAAGTCAATGCTGATAACATGCTACATTTGTCAATATATTCTAAAGAAACACATTATTTTCTTTTTTCCCCTTCTTTTCTTTTCTCTTTTTTTTTTTTGGCTAGGCAATGGGGTTAAGTGACTTGCCCAGGGTCACACAGCTAGTAAGTATTATGTGTCTGAGGCAAAATTTGAACTCAGCTGCTCCTGAATCCAGGGCCGATGCCCTATCCGCTGTGCCACCTAGCTGACCGGAACATATTATTTTCAACAGGAGATGCCCGAGAGAGTACAGGCCAGGGACCAACACACATACCAAGCAAAGTTACCACATAATATGGTACTAGAGCCATGTATTTCCAGATAGAGGGTTTTGTACTACTTTCATGCCACTACCAAAGTATTTACAGAGTAAACTAGGCTCGCCCTAAGGATTTTTTAAAATTTAAATTTATGGAATAAAACAAGCATTTCTATAACATAGTATAATAAAAAAAGATGATAGTAAATGAAACTGCATATTTATAATGTATAACTTGCTATTCCTTTTAAATATATAATAAAGTTATCATGTAAATTTATTTTCCTTTTTTTCTTCCCCCCCCTCCACCCAAGAGATGGCTACCATTAGACAAAAATAAAATCAGATTTAAATATTAATTGTCCATGGGTAGGCAGGGACAATATAATACAATCAGTATAGATTTCTGAGCCAGGAACAAGACAATTTTTGAGCCAGTCATTCAATAAATATTTATTAAATGCCTAATATGTTCTGATCACTGTGCTATTTAATAAGGAAACAAAGAAAGGTAAGAAATAATCCTTGCAATCAAGAAGTCTAATGGGGGAGAAAAATGCAAATAACTATGTACAAACAAGATATATACAGGATAATTGGAAATAATCAACAGATGCAAGTCAATTAAGGAGGATTGGGGGGGGAAACAAAATTCCCTTGAAAGATGAAATTTTAGGTGGCACTTTAAAGAAATTAGGAAAGCCAGGGTGCAGAGATGAGGAGTGCAATGAAAAGTATGGGTGTCCTTTCTCTCTCCCCAGATGTCTCAATGTACTTCTATTTCCTTTCGGGCCTCTGCAAAATGGATTTTGACCATGCCAATCTTGGAAATGATGCCTAGAGAGTTTAAGCATGAAGTGTGTTTTCCATATTAATTGTGAGAAAGAAAATGAAAGTTAAGGCTGATAACAATGATAATTATACATCTTTAGATAGACCTTGATTTTCTCTTTTCTCTTCTTGCATGTGGAGGTGTGTATTATTAATTCTACAATATGAAATTTTTCCATTCAGAATGCTGATATCAGAAGAGCTGATACATGGAATTGCAATTGAATTTTTACTTCAAGTAAAATTAAGTAGTTCTGCTTAACTGCCTTTATTTCTTGGATTATTGCCTAGGAATGAAAATGAGAACCTAGAAAAGTGAAACCTGAAAAGCAAGAAGGGATTCAAAGCTAATATTGCTCAAAGTGTGATGTATTCAAAGATAATTATTTATAATTAAGAAGTTAAATATTTCCATTAAATTGTTTACTTTGCAGGACTTGCTTCAAAATCTCTTTGTGACAAATTGAAATAACTCATTATTACTAGAAGCGACTTTTAAAATATTTTTCATGAAAAAAATACAAAATGGTTTTCATTCCTATATGTGGTCAGTCCCCTTTCCCTCTATCAGCAAAGGCATCATGAGGGTGGAAAAGAGAGCAAAATACACTAAGGATCATAGTTTTTAGATGATCAAGTAAAATTTTAATGGTATTCTAGATGTGAGATCCCTGTGTAATGAAAAATAAATTGATATACAACAAGAAGAAAGAAGAAATTCCAATATTAGCAATCTCTTGATATAGATGAAATCAGAACACAAAAGGCAGGTTCAGCAAAATGAGTGGAGGCCTCATAGGTTCACCTTGCAGACACAAATGAAAGTTTCTTTAACTCTGTCATAAGAAAAGAAGTGTCATTTCATGGGATACGTGGTCATCACACCTTGAAATTCTCATAGGGAATTTAAGCAAAAAGATCATTGCAAAGGTAATTGCAACTTATTCACCAGTATCTATTACAGAGGATAAAGTAGGGTTATATCTGTGAATAATTGGCACTATATCAATATATCTGTTCAAATACAGGGAATTCAGTAAGAAGGTGGGCAAAAGAAAGGACAAAATATATGATTCAGGATTAAGAAATGAAAGTTGTAAAGGTCTTATAGACTATGAAGAAACCTCATATCTGTACATGGTGAACAATTTATTCAAGAAGAGAAACAGGAAGAAAAAAGCTGCCAATCATTAGAAAACATTGCAAAAACAGAAATTTATTATATCTCTAGTTACCAAGATGGGAATTATAACACTTCTCCAGGTGCAGTCACATCATTGGCTAGTAACTGTAATAATTAAAATCGACACATTAGAAGGACAATCAGGATGGATAAATTATCTATAGATCATGCCATAGGGAATAAGTTGAAATAAATGAGGATTTTTAACCAGCAGGATAAAAGACTTAGAGCAGATATGATAGCTGTTATCAAGTGTGTGAATGGTTGTCAAGGAGAAGAGGTCTGAGAAGTGATTTGTTTAATTTTGTTTTATTTCTCTTAGCCCCTCTGGATGGAAGCTACAGAGAATCTGATTTCAGTTTGATCAGTGAAAACTTCCTAATGATTCCTACTCAAAGATGGAACAGTCTTTTAGGAGGCATTGAGTTTCCCCTCACTAAAGGGTCTTTGAGGCAACACTATGCAATCACTTCCCAGGAATGATATAAAGGGGACCACTGTCCAACCATTGGGCTAGATGGTTTCTGTGCTGCTATATATATATGATAGCCTATGAATCTCTGTGTCTCTGATTCTCTGAGTTTATGTAAGGATAAGCCTTGAAAGGCAGTATGGAAAGAAAACAAGTTCACCTTAGGAGGAGAAAAAGGTGGGTCGAATCCTGCCTCTGAGATACACTAGCTCTATGATACTGGGCATGTCACAGCCTTTCACACAGATTGAAAGTCTCCTCAATGAAAATATGAAAAGGGAACAGGTGAACTTTCACACATTTTTTTCTACAGTAGAACACATCTTCATAGTACATAATTGACTAAAAAGTATAAAGACTATAAATCTTATTGTGGACTGTGTTTTGATTACCAAAAAAAAAAAAGTCTTTCATCTGATTGCGCAAAAGCCAGCCTTGAAGTCTTTCCTCCAACAAGGTGTCTCTCATGTAGTATCAATATAAAATTCTTCGACAGATGCACCTATAGAAACAACTTTGCTTTATAAACATCTGATTATCAGTAACAAGTTAGAAATAAACAAGAGAAATGCATGTTTGCAAAAACAAAAAAAACAAAAATGTTTACCAGTTCCTACAAGAATGTCTTTTGTAGAGCCAAAT